TCAGAAGAGTGGATCCAACTCTGGACATGGAAGCAGATGAAGGTGATGATTATATGCATCTCCCGGTACATCAGCGAAGCTTTATTCTGCAATGCAATTTAATCATTTATTTTCGATAGGACCTGCTGTTCTTGTATATTCTTTGATCTAACCCCTTCAAAGAGAATTGGAGCTAACCTATTTTTCATATGTCATGGTAAAAATAGGATCATGGGCTACCTCAGGGTGAAACTAAGGAGATTCTAGAACCACAGTATGAACCATTCAAAAGGTCTTTCTCGCAATACCTCAATCAGCATGCAGCAGTGGTTCTTCGAGGAAGAGTTATAGGTAAGCTTCTCTTAACAAACTCTATCAATAGCACCATTCCACTGTAACGAGTAAGTTCCTTTAAATTTCTTTCTCATCTGAGACAAATTGTGAAGCAGACTGAAGTTGTCTCTATGACGGCACCTTTGTGCAAAATGATAATGATTTTGTATGTACACTACTGATTCTTTGTTATGCATTATTAATGTGTCTTCTATGTGGATGTCCTTGATGTCTATTGCTTAGGGTTGGGAGAGGGAGACGGGTTAGGAGAACCTTCCATGATGTATTAGTGGTTCTGGCTGCCTTTGTTTGAGTTGGTTTTGTTTCATATTTGACTTGATATTTTTCCTTCTTATTGTCTCATCAATCTGGGAAGATGTTGAGCTGGGTGACACAAGATCTGTTGCTGAAGCATTCACCAGGACATATCAGGGTAAAAAGCATTTACTACTCATACAGTTGTCCATTTATCTCATTCTGGTTCCAAGCCCGGAAAAAGCTTATACAACTCATTGCATTTGGTGGAGCAGCTGAACAAGCTACTGAAGTGTCTGATGAGAATGCATATAGAGAACGCGTAAAAAAAGTTTCTCGAGTAGCTGAGATTGAGGATCTTCAGGGACCTCAAGACCCACCAGTTGCATTGCTAAGTATCAAGGTGTGGCGTTCATCAATTCTGTTTTTGTTCTGCTCACATCAACCATGATTTTCATTAGATTATCTAATATATAATTGTTTCCTAAATCAGGATCCCCGAGACTACTTTGATTCTCAGCAAGCAAATGCAATAAAGGCTTTGGGAGATGCTGAAACAGGGATAAGACAGTTGAAATTTAGTGTGAGCAAAGAAGAAGCCTTTTGCTCCTTGAAGGACTCCATCTCTGAGATAAATTCTCAAGGATTGATTGAACCAATAATTAGTCCCGAAGTAGCTCTCAAGGTATTTTTACTTTTTTTTGAAGTTAGGATATTGTCATCCAATGATATCATATTGTAATGGAGAAGTTGAACTATATATCATTGATTACAGGTTTTCAACGGGCTAAGTCAGAATATCTCAAGTACAAAATATTATCTGGGAAAGAATCCCCATGAGAGTGTGTTAGATCAGTTGCCTAGTGCAACGAAAAATGAGCTATTACTTGTGAGTTGTTTTACAGGGTGATTTTGTTCAGAAGTTTATTCTGAATCTAAAATCTTTGTCCAGACTTTATTACAGCTCTTAAATTCTGTTAACCATGACAAATGATAATTTTCATTGTACTTCTAGCATTGGACATCAATTCAGGAATTATTGAAGCACTTCTGGTCATCTTATCCAATAACGACAAAATATTTCTACGCCAAGGTAATATTTTGAATATCAATGTTGTATTAGGCCTTATAAAAGGGTAAAAATTGTATTAGGCTACTTCTTTTGTCACCAGCAAAATTATGTTGCATGGTCCGAAAGAAAGATTTAGTGTTTAGGCAGTTTTACTTATTTTAATTGTCTGGTATTTTCAAAATTTGGGTGCATCTTATTTATTAACTATGCATACTATCTGAATTTAATTTGATCTTGTGATAACATGACATTTTTGTAAATTTTTCGTTGTTTTTTCCTTCTTATATTGAATCAATAATCCCTCAAGTGTTTCTAATCCTCATCATTTGATAGGTGACTAGGTTAAAGGATGCAATGTCTCAGATATATCCCAAGTTGCAGGTATTGATCTTTTGGAAATGGATAAATATGCACTTGTGGACCTTTTTTCCCCTTTTACAGTTTCATTGCAGATTCTTTATGTTTTTCCTTTTTTTCCTTTTTGTATTTTTGAAATCTATAATGCACCAAACAAAGCATGGCCTGTGTTGGAAATTTGTTATGCGACTTTTTTCGATTCCATCTTTGGGTACAAATTTCTGAATAATGTGGAGCAGAAGATAAACCAACAGTGGTATTTAGACTAGCTTGGTTTGGTATAGATACAATGTTTAGGTGATTTGGGAAACAAAATAGTTCATGATAGAACAATGTCATTTGTAACAATAAGAAAACATCAACAGTTTGGAGATTTTAGTTAAACACTCCATAAATCTTTGAATATGACTTTTTTTTCTTTTGAAGTTCTCAGGAAACCATTTCATCAAGATACTAATGATCTCTCGTTACTTTTTTATTTTGAGAGAAGATTGATGTAGTAATAATAGGAAAATTTTGAATTACGAAGAACAAATCAAGTAGGGGTCTAAGGGTGAACAATGAAGTAAAATAATAAAAGACATCGGAAACCAAACCAGGTGCTTGCTGGTCGGCAATTTTTGGTGGTAGGGCTGATGCAGTGGAAATCAAATTGCTTCCCTGCCCAGCCACCCTTTGTGTGCAGTTTGATAATGTTTATTTCTTGCTATCTTTAGTCATATTAGACTTGAGGAGTTTTTTCTTGTGTGATGTTAAGTTCTGATATTTTCAGTTGATGTTCCAGGAGATCAAGGAATCTGTGCAATCAGATGTCAGACACCAAGTTTCCCTTCTTGTACAGCCAATGCTTCAGGTTAACTTCTGACTTCACGACACTAATAGTAGAGTTCGAGAATGCTCTAGCAGCAGGAAAGTTACATGAATATTCGCGGTCCTGCTTATTCTCAAAACCATGTTACACAGACATTTTATGTTCTCTAAAGTTCTTACTGTTGGAGTTGTTCTATTAATTTTGAATCTCATGGAAACATATGTTTTTTCCGCAGGCTTTGGATGCTGCCTTTGCCCATTACGACGCAGATATACAGAAGAGATCTGCCAAAAGTGGTGAGAGACCAAATGGATTTGTTTAGGCAATCTTAAAGGCCTTTATTTTTCTGGGGGTTACCATACACATATGTACATCTAACAAAATTTTGTTTGATTGTGTTATTACCATAATTTATATCTTGACAGTTTCTATTGTGTAACTGCCTGAGGAAATTGTACATCTAATGGAACTTTATTGAGTTATTCTAAAAAAATGTTTCTTTTTCCCTTCCTTCTTTGTTGGCTGGCTGATCTATTGAAATTTTGTTAAGAATGACATTAGAATTTATTGATTTTTCTAAAATTCATGGGAAGAGAAGAAAGTAGATAGAAAAATTCTTTTTCATCCGATCTTCCTGAAGTGAGTGAATTACATATAGAGATCCATAGGGATTATAGTTTAACTGGTTGAAATGTACTGTTCATAACGGTGATAATGTAGGTTTGAACCCTACTATGCCTACCGCTCCCTTCTTCTCACTAATACGAGGCATTCGAAGTACCCCCTACTCTGCAGATCTGTCAATGTAGAACCACATTGTTGTTGTTGCCTTTTGAGCACACCTCCTACGCTTATCACTCACCTACGCTTTGGCAACTTGTCCCCTTCAGTCAAGTAACTTAGCCCTTGTGATTTACGCCATCTATAACATAGCCGGTTTAGTCAGTATTGACGAATTTCAGATGGGTTATTGTTAATAGCAAACACTTGCATGTTTTTTGTATATATACATATATATTCTTTGATGAATTTTTGGGTTATTTATATATCAACTACAATAGATAAAACAATTATAAAGCACTCTAAGAAATCAAACTTGAAAACCTAAAACTCACCTACCTACCAAGTCCAAATTAATCAACCAAACATTAAAATTGTTAATCACATAACTTTCCAAAAGTATATAACACCTTACATTATCAAATTAACAACAGAATTCTTATACATTGATGAAAACAATGTTATGTCAATTAATCTTTGTTCAAAAAACAAAGAAAGAAAAAAAATAAATTAAATGTTGCTAATAATATGGTGGAGTAGAATGGTAACCCATGAAGGGCCTTCCTTCATCAACATGAACTGTGTGTTTCAATTTGTGATATCCATCTTTGAAAACTCCAAATCCAAACAACAAACCAATTGTAACCACCACTACAAATAAGCATATGCATAACATGCAAATCCTACCAGATAACAATAGACACATCAGGACCCTCTTTTTTTTTGAAAAAAAATTAATTGTTTTTTTTCGTTTTGTTTGTTCGATGGATCAAGATATGTTGTCTGGCTGTCATGCCAAAGGTGTTATCAGTTTGAATGGTGGGAAGAAGGTGTGGATATATATAGTTGAGAAATGGGAGAAGTAGTTATAAGTCTATGGAAGGGAGAAAAAGAGTCTATGGTTGATAAAGAGTAGAAGGATGAACCTATTATCTAAGAAAATATTTAAAAATTTATGTCATTTATTAGATAATTACAAGTAAATTTCTTGATGAACATTAATTGACAATCTAATAAAAACGATAATTGGATACTGTATACAACTTACCTTCTAAAAAATAAAAAAGCTTATTAATGTAATCCATTGGATAATAATAAGTAACATGAATGATCACAAATGTTTACTTAACATTTCCTTTAAGAGTGGATGTATTGCCTTTTCAATGGCCAAAATGCCTGTTATCAGCATTTTTCTATAGCAGATACAAAATATCCAGACAAACGACGTTGAGTCAATGATTGTTGTTGAGCACATATATTACCTCTTAGAAATGAGGTTTGACAGTAGCACAAAAGAGAATCCGAACACTGTTTCTTCTAAACAAAATCATGCACAATTTTACAACTCCAAACATGAAGCACTCTGATAATTGGAAAGTCATGTTTCATTTCAGATGACAATAAAAGAACAGATCAAAAATCTGTATGCCGATTCGACTTTTTCTAGATGAGAACGTATAATGTAACATAAGATGAAAGATAATGATATGCCTAACAAAACCAAAGAGTGAGACGGCAAGTAAAAACTCACAGTACTATCTCACTACTGATTGATTATACATAGGAAGGAAGGATAAAGTCCGCTGGTACTTCTGGATTCAAAAGGTACGGGAAGAAGAAAACTGTTTGCTGCTCAAACTGCAGCAGCAAACACTATCCGTACAGCAGTGGATCAAGGTATGCAACGAGCAGAAGTGCTTTGGACTTGAAGATGCATCCTTTTTGGAACTCCAACTGTGAATAATGTGGTTCTAAAAGCGGCTACTCCAGCAACTAGAGATCCGGTGGTTTTTGCAAATCACTGGTAGCAAGAAATGAGAAGCACAGGCAAATGAATATAGCATTCCTATGCGAAAACTAGTTGGGTAATACGAAAACCATATGCATTGACTATACATGTAATGTAACACACACCAAAGCAATTCAGTTTGACAAAAATGACTCATGACTAAAAAGCAAACAAAAAGGAACTGATGTTGCTCCATAAAGCAATTTGTATCTGAACATAGAATCTGATTTAGACTAAAATTACCATATATAGAAAAAAGACCAGTAGTTCTTCATGCACAAGCACAGGTTGGCACCCAACAGCTTAATAGCAGCAAAATCCGTATGGGTTTATAAAAGAAAACAACCTACTAGCAGTAGAGAAAAAAAGACTAGCAACAGCGAGACAGCCAACATCATCACAAACTCATCAAAAAGGGCCAACAATTCAAGAGCCGCATCAGAAAGCACCAGCAGAAGATTAACAAAACCAGCATTAGAAGAAAAAAATCAACTTCCACAGAATCACAACAAAATAATGGAGTACTCAAGCTTCAGCTAGAAATACAATTTTCAAAAACTCATGTAAGAAAAACCGATAAACTTACTAATGAAGTTTGCCAGCATTTGTACTTGATGTTTTCTTCCCACTACTATGCCCAATTTGATGGCATATTTTGCAAGTGCAATGAATTGCTCTCTTTTTGGCTGGTTGTTCATCTAGTTCTCTTCTCCATTTAATTGGTTATCTACCTCTCCTCTTCTCCATTTCCTTATTAGGATGCACAACAGTGTGATCTACAACTGGCCATTGCTCTCTTCCGGTACTGGATTGATCTTTCTAGAATACGTCTTCATATAGCATTCTTCATTGAGTAGGGGATGAACAAATTTGGTAGGATCTTCTCTAATATGAGTCATGCAGCATTAGAGCATGTCGGCATGGCACTCTACATTGACATGACATTTGCTTCAAATCCACCACATAATTTTTCAAGCCATGCACTTGAAACAGGTGTTGAGTAACTCTTTCTTCCCTCCTCCTGATTTTAAGTAACTCTTTCTCTTACTTTTGGTGGAATCGGAGTATCCAAAGCAGAAGCTATTTCATACCTCTGTTAAAATCTAGTCATAGTTTTTCTTCTAATCTATTCCAAGAATTTAGAACTATTTCTCTCTAACTTTTACCACAAAAGCATTGAAAGACTCAGTCATGTAGAAGAAACAAAATGATTTTCACCCTATATTAATTAAAAGAAAAAAGAAAACTTAACTTCCTTGACATATTCACATAAAGCATAAAATATAGAGGGCTATCGTCTATGATAGGATACAATGGAGAAAAGACTTGAGACAATGGTGGAGGGAGTTTACAAGGTACGTCAAAAGCCCTATGCCGGGCACCCAATCCAAAGTGGATATACGCCTTCCCAAAGACCAAAAATACTCTTTCTGTCTTTTTTCTGAATTAAAGATATGACCACATACAATACGCTAAAGTTTGGATAATTCAAGTGGTTCTGCTGTTTTCTACAGCAAGGATTGTTCTTTTGTCTGAAACAACCCTTTCCATCATTCTATTAGCTGATTGCTTGTTCTTGCTGCTGGTACTAGTTCTACTATTTCCTTCAACAGTTCGTTGCAATATACGGACTGGTATTCCACCCAAGTCAAAGTCTTCCTTCAAAGATCTAGTTAGGAACCTCAAATCTGTATCTGAGAGCTGGGTTTTTCCACTCATAAATGCAATAAAAGTTGGAGGTCTAGCTTTCACCTGAGTGAAATACTTGATCTTGGGTTGAGCTGCCTGATCTTTCCATGAATGTCTGCTCATTACCTTACATAGCCAACGGTTAAGACGAGCTGTTGGCAATCTCAAACACCACTTTTCATATGTTTCGATGACCTGATTCATTACAGCTATCTGGCTCTTTCCTTCTAGAGCTGAAACAAATACAACAGGTATCCCTGTGACCTGGGGAATAACTGTCTGAATTTCTTGGGGGACAGCTTCAGTTACGCTCTTGTACAATTTGTAATTTTCTTTCCCTCTTAGAAGATCCATCTTATTTACAATCACAACAAGACCACGTCCTTCCTCAACCGCTCGCCTTGCTATAACTACTTCAACATGCTTCATGCTTCGCCTAGTGTTTGCAATCTCTTCTGCATCGAGGACCAAAACAATTACATGTGCTCTCATAAGGTGTTTCCTTGATTGCATAATACTTAAAGATGCAGGGCCCTTCTCCTGTTGTTTTGTCCTCTCCAACCAGCCTGCTGTGTCAACCAAATAAATGGTTCTTCCTTCGTACTGAAATTCAGCGCGGATGGAATCTCTAGTCAAACCAGCCTCAGGGCCAACTAAAACACGATCTTCTTGCAAGATTGTGTTCAACAAGGTTGACTTTCCAACATTGGGCCGTCCAACAATTGCCAACTGCAATGGCAATTTACACTCCATATCTTCAGAGGAGGAGTCATTATCCTGTACCTCCTCATCAGCACATAAGTTGTTTTGGAGCACATATTCTTCAAGTAATGGTCTAAGAGTCTCATGAAGTTCAGCCATTCCAAGTCCAGTCTCAGCAGATAAAGCAATGGGATCCCCAAATCCTAATCTATAAGCCTCACCAGCAGCAGATGCAAGTGTACCATCACAATCATCCAGCGATTCAGCTTTATTCATCACCACAATAGTTTTCATTCCAGGTGCATTCTTCCTCAACCACTTTCCAACATCCAAATCCATAGGCAACACTCCATCTCTTGCATCAACTAACAAGAGTGCCAATTGAGTTTTCGACAACACATTTCCAGTCATTTCTGCAGTTCTACTAAGAACAGAACCAGAAGAAGCCTCTGCTTCTATACCAGCAGAATCCAACACCTTAAACCTCAAATTCCCCAATTTTGCAATACCTTCTCGTATATCCCGAGTAACATGATCAGTAGGAGTGTTGTACACAAGCGCCTCCCTCCTTCGTATCAATCGGTTAAACAATGCTGATTTCCCTACATTAGGGCGTCCCATGATTAAAACCCTTGGCAGCTTGTTAATATGAATCTGTGTAAAATCAACCATCTCTCTAGTAGTATATTTCGCTTCCTTTCCTCTATCACTACTACTAGTAGCAGCAGCATTATCTAACAATTCATCTGCCTTCTCTTGACCTAACAAAGTACAGAATTCCGCAACATTATGAAAGAAATAAGGATTTCGAGAATTACTTGATGACAATCCAATCATCTCATTGCAGCTTGAAGTAGAGCTCCAAAAAGTTCTGCGGCAGCATATTTCGTTAAATTCTGAAGTGATTTGGTCCGGTAAAGTAGTTGCTCTAGAGAGGATACCGAAGCTATAATGGCTTTTCCGCCTGAAAAAAGGCTTCAAATTTCTTAGCAACAACATGATTAGAAACAAGACCACCCTACCCGTAGAGCCTCGCGACTCAATAGAACTCCATTATCGCGTCGTCCGAATGGGGAAACTGGACAACGAGCTGCGGTGATGGAAAGATGAATCTGAACGGCGACAAATGACAATGGTGGTGCTACACGGTGGTTAACGCGGAAGAGTTTAAAGGCGGCGGAAGATAGAGTGTTTGTGACCTAGTATAGTACTACTATTCATTTAACAAAAAATTGGCTAAAATTGGTCCATATGACCCGCTCAATCTTTTTAAATTTGGCGGTTATATATTAGTTTAGCTCATTTTGGTTCAATTTATTTTAGGAAAAACTAAGCAAATACCTCATAAAATCAAAATAATTACAAACATATACCCTTTTATATTTATACTCCATTAAATAATTACAATATATACTCTCAACTAATTTCGTTTAACTAATACTAAATAAGTATCATATACTATATTGGTGTTATAAGGCTGATAATTTCGCTTAATTGATAATAAATCAATTTATATTGTATTGGTATCATTAAGGTTTCTTGTTCAGAAGTTACTCATTAGTCAATGATACTACATGAGTATACATAATCTCTTATAGTATCATTGACTAATGAGTAATTTCTGAACAAGAAAACTTAATGATTACACTCTTATAGTATCATTGACAATGAGTAATCTCTGAACAAGAAACTTTAATGATACCACAACAATATACATATACTCTTATAGTATTATTGACTAATGAGTAATTTCTGAACAAGAAACCTTAATGATACCAATACAATATAAATTGATTTATTATCAATTAAGCGAAATTATCAGCCTTATAACACCAATATAGTATATGATACTTATTTAGTATTAGTTAAACGAAATTAGTTGAGAGTATATATTGTAATTATTTAATGGAGTATAAATATAAAAGGGTATATGTTTGTGAACAAGAAACCTTAATGATATCATAACAAGATACATATACTCTTATAGTATCATTGACTAATGAGTAGTTTCTAAACAAAAAAACATTAATGATACCATAACAAGATACATATACTCTTATAGTATCGTTGACTAATGAGTAATTTATGAACAAGAAACCTCAATGATATCAATATTGTATATATGTACTGATTTAGTATTAGTTAAACAAAAATTATCAGTCTTAATGATATCAATACAATATAAGATACTGATTTAATATTAGTTAAACGAATATTATCAACCTTAATGAAAGAAGGAATGACCTGTAATTTTTTTATGAGAGAATGTGTATTTCTTGAATTACTTTGAGTTGGATATGGACATGTAATTATTTTAGGTCTAATGGTCAATTTATGTAGTTTTTTTCTTTATTTTAGAGAATCGATAGTTAGTCTAGTGAAATTGTATGTGTCGATGCAATTAGTTTAAACGAAAAAATATTTTGTATCAAACGAATAAATATAATGAATTTGAGCAACAAATACAACGACAAAATAATAATTATGAATCATAATTAGGTAACCTATAGTTACTAATAATAATTTTACTTCAAACTATAGTAATTCATAAAAAATTCTCTATTAAAAAGAAATAAATACATGAAGTGATAGGTGAAAAAAATACTCAAACTTCTTTTATATTGTTTGATTTATTATTCAAATATAAAATACTATTAAAAAGTAGTCTAAGGGTCAAACCCAAAATATCTCAGGTTTTTCATCGTCTCTTCTCATTTTTTCTCTATCCCACGCTTATAATACCTCGTACCTTCAGACTATGAATTAAATCGTTCGTCGCTCAAATATCACTTTGAAAAGGAATCATGTGGTAAAATGCAAGGAGATGTCTCGCATATCACGTAACAATGATTTTTGTCAGACGTCATGTTATGAGTTTGTGCATGTTCATGCGGTTACATCAAAGGTGATTCAGACGGTATACTTCCAATGCATGCTAGAGTTATTGACAATGACCCATCATGGAGTTGCGATGGGCTCATGTGATTCACATCTCGTGAGATGCGAATCGTAACAACCATCACAAATTACTATGTTTTCATCAAAACTAAAACGTATGGATCTAAATGCACATTAGAATATTATGATGAACATTAAGATTTAGAGGTTTGAATTTGAACATACTAAATATTAAGACGTTGCATTAAGATCTAGATCTTAAAATTAAGACTATTGTCTTAACATTTGAATGTATTAAAAAAAATGTAAAATTCAAATAAAATACTAAACTACTACTCCCTCCATGTTATATTTGTAGATGTAATTTGACTTTGTATGGAATTTAAAAAAAAAGACTTTTGAAACTTGTAGTCTAAAATAAGTAATAGATGTTTGTATGGCTATATATCCTTTTATAATGGGTAAAATAGACATTTTAAAATTAAATTATTACTAAATATAAAATTGTATTTTTTTTAACTGACAAAAAAAGCGAGTCTTATAAATTGGGACAAAGAAAGTATAATATTATATTAATAAGGTATTTAAAGAAAATTATATGGCAATTGATGATGGTGACTAACTTGTGAATCGATTTGAGATGATGTTGACGGTTGATGATGATTGTGGGTAGTAGCTTATGATATATTAATTGATAGTACTGATTAACCATGGTGGTTAGTGATTGAGAATGTTAATTAAGTGGAATAATATTGATTAATGGCGATAATTATTAGTGAATATAATAGTGATTGGTGGTGCAATTGTAAATGATTGCTAATGGTGATAACGATTAATTTTGGTGACTGACAAAAGTGGTGGTGGTGGTTGGATTGAGAATGATTGTTGTGAATTGTACGTGGTGGTTATTGATGGTGATGGTAATTGTGGTTGAAATGGTGGTATGGGTGACGAGTGAAAGTAGATGGAGCACCGATACATTGCCATCTTTGTAAAAAAAAACTTAAATAAACATCTCAATGATATGAAGACTTCGTTATAGATCGCAATCATTCAGATCCATTAAGTGGTTATTACATAAGGAAAATAAACACATTTACTGATTAAGATTTGAACAATTAAGATTACTTAATGATTGAAATTTGAATAGTTAAAATTAAGATATTTATTAAGTGCAAACAGATGAAACCTTATAATGTTTTAATATGTTTAGTGTAATGTATGCTAGAGGCCTTGTTCCGACATACAATTTTAATTATGTTTGAGACTTCATCAACAGTTAGTAGCATGTTGTCATGGCATGTATATTTATTATTGACATTCATGTCATTTTATATATTTTAATACTATGATATATGAAAAATTTCTTCTACGAAACTTATTTTCCTCCAATGCTCTTAAATCACGTTTCCACTCATCTTAAAATTATGTTCAATGTTTCATGCCATATTATGAATATATATCTGGATCAAGAATTATATCAGATATTGATCCCGCCTAAAGTGTAGGTTCGAAATATAACAGATCCTACCCCCTATTAGTCTTTTTATGCAAATCGCCAACGATCATCGTCACATGCCACTTCTCATAATCTTCTATTTTCTATTGTTCTCATTTGTTGTTCCTCGTCATGTTTCTCCTTTTCATTCGTCATTTTTTTTATCAAAGTTTAGATGTAATTTTTTTTTTCTTTTGATTAACGTTTTTCGATATGTATTCGACAATGGTAGTTATAATTTCTTCACTGACTATTCATATTTAAATTCTCAATTACATGACATTTTATATTTTAAGAAAAGAATAAAAACGAGAAAAAAGACAATCGCAAGGTGCTTGGTAGCTGATTTGAGTTTGAGAAAATTATACAAATATTAAATTCTGCATAAGAGATAAGTTAATATTTGATTTTAATGTTAAAATCACATAACTAATAATCTAATATATGTAACGAGAGAATTCATATATTATTTTTATTCAAAATAAAAGATGAAATAATAATACATGCTTACTTTGTTCAACTACCAAACCATTCACTGTGACATGTGATAAAAATAATAATTTCTCATTAGATCCCCAATTTAATAAAATAATATTTTTCTCATCCATCTTCTTCCCATAATAGCATTACTCCCCCCAAAAGGTCCCAATCTATTCATCACTCACTCTCAACAGAGTCACACTACTCAATCTTGCACTTAATCCGATCTCTGTCTCCAAATCCTTCATTCAATCATCGATATTCATCTTCTTCATCAAATCTCTCTTCATATACTCGTTAATTGATTCCCCAAGTATTGTATTTTTGTAGTATTATTTAAGGTATTTATGGCTGCCGCCGGAAATCCAAACCAGTCCGGTGGAACACCGTTTGATATGCATACTTTCTTCAAGCCTTCAACTCCAGTTTCAACAAACCTGAATACCCAGAACCCCATTAACCCGAATTTGATTTCTTCACAATTTATGCTTCCTTCAGCTTCTTATCCTCCGCCTACTGCCGGCGGCGCCGGTGGTGGTACAGGAGGAGGTGCCGGAGGACTTTACTACCCACCCCAGACAACCCCTTTTCACAATATCCCTCAATTCAATCACAATACTCCTCCACAGTATAACAACCATCAACCTCAACATGATGGATATATGCATCCGCAAAGATCTATGTCTTTCCCTGCTCCACCACTTCAACCACCACCCACCCCTACTAGTCCTCACCAGTTCTTGAATCCTGGAAATAACCCGAATCCTAACCCTGGGGCTCGACTTATGGCTTTGTTAAGTGCGCCACCTTCAACTCCTGAAGTTCTTCAGCAACCCACTGTGCAACTTCTTCCTTTACAGCCTACAACTTCTGGGTCTGAGCTTTCTGATTTTTCTGCTTCACCAAATGTTGGTATTGCTCATTCAGGGAGTAGCCCGTTGCGAATGCCGAGTAGGAAGTTACCTAAAGGGAGACATTTGAATGGGGATCATGTTGTTTATGATATAGATGATAGGTTGCCTGGTGAAGTGCAGCCTCAGCTGGAGGTTACTCCCATTACCAAGTATGGTTCGGATCCGGGACTTGTTTTAGGCAGGCAAATTGCAGTTAACAAAAGCTATATATGTTATGGACTCAAATTGGGAGCTATTCGTGTGCTTAACATTAACACCGCGTTGAGGTCATTGCTTAAAGGTCTTGCACAGGTTGGCCTTTTCCGCAAGCTTACATTTTTTGTTGTAATGGTTCTGTTAATCTATTGGATCTTTTCATTGATGTACCTAGATACATTAGATGTGAATTTCATACTCTTTTGTTATGTGAACTGTTTATGAACATTATAAATACTTGTGCTAGTTGGTATGCATAAAATACTAGTGA